TTGTCGACATACACCGGTGATGGTCCGAATGCGCAAGAATATAATCAAATATTCGTTCTTTCACCGACGTATTTGGTATGTGTCGACTTTCACCGGTGAAAGTCGCCGTTCTCCAATTTCGGTCTTTCAGAGTAACATATATATTAAATTACAATGGAATTTCAACAAAAACGTAGATCTATCAGAAATCCACAGCATTATTCGTTAACTCGAAATCAAAGATTCGAGCTATGTCTTCCTCTTTTCTAACAGGTTCTTTGTGTTTTTGAATTAGAATATTACTTTCTTGAACTGATATTCAGTTTTAATTCAAATTAGCTTAAGAAGCGCCCTTGTGATATTTTAATTAATTTCCACATTTCTGTCTGAAAGGTGAAGAAACTTTTGAGTCTAGACTGTTTTCTTTTTGTTTCTATTTGATGCAGATTTGTTATTTAATATTTCAATTTCAGAATATTTAACAATATTCCTAAAACTTTTTTTCTTAAATTTAATTTAAAAATTGAAGTTAAAAATTACCTAAACAACCAGCGGGAGTGGCCTCCCCTAAACTTTCTCGTATACTTTTCAAACATTTGTCATTTCCCTTTTCCCCTGCGTTGACAAAAAGTTCGAACCAACTGTAACCCAGAATGCAATGACTATCAGAAGGTTTTTCATTGTTGATTATAATGATAGTAAAATATTGAGGTGAAGAATCATATTCAAAAAGATACGTATGTATTAAAACTTCTCAATATTTATTTTTTTATCAAACTCTAGCAATGCAAGTTCCGCGTGCGGAGAAGAAAACAGGAGAATAGCTTGCTCGCTGAATAGCTTGCGCATGCGCAGAGATTGCTTCCAATACGCAAGTAAAACGAGACGCCCTAAATGTTTGCCTCCTTACAAAATCTCGCCGCCAGAATTGGTTTTTGGCAAACTGCCAAGTTTTCGGAGTATCCCTTCTTTGCACAGGCATTTACGCATGCGCATGGAGTTGAACAAGTATGCTATTATACAGACCGACAGACAGTCAGATCGTTGACGGATTTGGTCCAAAATTGTATACGGACCTACATTCATGACGATAAAACAGTGTACCAAATTTTATCCATCTAGCTATTCAAGTTTTTGAGTTATAGCGTTCGCATGACCTCGAACATGCAGACAGACAAACTTCCCGCTGACGGATTTTGTCCAAAATTTGACAGAAACCTACAAATTATGTTTAAAGACCACATACCAAATTTCATCCCCGTAACTTTAATAGTTTTCGAGTTATCGTGTTCACAGACAGACCAACACACACAGACAGACAGACATAATTCCAAAATTGTGTTTTTCGGACTCAGGGAGGTCTCTAGGGAGGAGATTCGTCAAAATCTCGAGTTCGAATTTTTTGACGATTACAATACTTTCTCTTTGTATACTTCGTATACGAGAAAGTAAAAATGTGAAGAAACAGTGTAACATGAACAATTCATAGCTAGAGAGAAATAAAAGTACTGAAAGCTAATATGCAATATATAGGTTTATGTATTATTCCTATTTAAATAAAAAAAATCATAATTTTTCCATTTTCTCAATTAAATTCATTTTTATATATAAAATCAATTACATGAAATATAAATAAAGGCTTTATACTACAAAGCACACCGAGTGTAATAACTTTTATATTAATGATAAAAATTCAATTAAATTTCAATCCTTAAAATAAACTTTGAAACTTCGACGCAGTTATTCAATAAGGAACCAACAACATTATTTGGGGGGGGGATTTCCAGTCAACTATTGCAGTCTGTGCCTAAGTGTGTGTAGCCTACTATGCAAGATTGTGCAAACTGCAATTTGTAATGTGCTTTCCTTTTTCGAAGGCGAGCAAAATAACATATCCAATATCCATTTACCGCCTTAGGCAGCCGTCTCTGTTTCAAAATAGTTTCCAGGCATTGAAATTTTTCAATGGATTTCTATGAAATCCGCTATGTCTAGACACACCTTTCTTTGTGTTCTGTTGGAAATAAGGATTTCAGAAATTTTGAGATAAGTATACTTAACAGCATTTCATTTAATTTTTGTTATGATGACATGTTTGATATATTCTGTATCATGCATATTTATTATAAATGTAAACATATCTCAGAATAATTTAATATACAGCTCATTACAAATAATGTGATCCAAAAATCACAAAAAACCTTAAAAAACATTAAATCACAAAAGAATGAAAATAGAAAGAGGTATATGTGCAGATGTAATATAAAAGGGTGTCAGTTTTGCACGGAATCGGAATTAAATGAGAAATTAGTTTGCTCTTTAAACTACCTGATAGCTCTCCAGTTGATGGGGCAAAATGTTGACATTGGGAGGAGTAATGATTTTCAAATGATCAGTATCTCTTCCTCATTTCAGAAATATATCTGTCTGACGAGGAGCCACACTTTTTATAACACTAAACATCATGTCATTGGTTTTTTTTGCTCGAAAGCCAGGATATTGACTATAAAAGCATCCATGTAATGGGATCATCTTCTATAATACCGACAGAAATGTTGTTACCTAATTATAGCGGCTTTGGTGCCATTGTATGTGTACTCAATATGTAAGAAAAGTTATACACGCCAGAAAATTACATATATGAGATACTGAAATGCAGAGAAAAGAATCGATTGAAATTTCATGCAATGATAAAAGGAAATTTCAGGACGAGAAAATCCAAACTAACCAGGAATCATGCCTAAGAAAACTGCCATATTAAATGACTGCATATTCGCCAAAAATGTTTTTGGAGACAAACCCTATTTAGAAATCATAATAGAGATTTAATGAACATTTTCTTCGAATAGAAACCCATAAACTATATGTTCAATCGCCCTATGCCATCTTTAGATTTTACAGAACTCCAAATACCTCTGTGGCATAACGGAAAACTAGTATCGTCAGAACTGAGAGGTATCAAAATCAATAACGCATGATATTCCAGGTGATGCTATACAGTTTCACGAAGACTTATTCTGCGACAGCCTTTACGACTGATTCGATTTCACATTCGAGTGATTGTACAGAAATTTCACCATTTTCAAATTGTACACCCTCATTATCTGTTCGGAATGAACTAAAATCCGCCTCTTTTCATCGGCAGCATCAGCAGAACGTCAATTTTAGAATCTTTTCAGCTATAGTTGATCAGCATTGTGATCGACGCTAACTAGAATGTTATGCTGATTCGAATCACTGATTGATCCGAATTACTATGTCTTTCAAGAAGATGTAATTTTCTTTATCGTCGCACTGTCTATGTGTTATTAAGCTTACTGTTGACTTTAAACTGCATAACTTTAAAAGGAAACATATTCTGTGCTCAGTGGCGGATCGTGAGCTCAGAAACGAGGACTGCAAAAAAATGTTTATCAAGAGAATTCAATTTTTTTAAGGCTACTTTATCTCCACGTAGGCCAAATTTTTTAATTCCAAATCGGGATGTGAAATTTCTTGCTTTTCAAACAAAGTAAATAACCAGCATATGCCATTTTCTATTAGTTTTACTAACAAAAATTAAATTGAATGTTGATGTGACGATTCCTCTGAGGAAATATAATAATAGTAATAATAATCAGAGCTCCACATAAACACTTCTCTCCTTGCGCAATTTACTCGATAACACTCTTTCAAAAATGAATATGAAATAACTCATACGCAGAAAATTTATTTTTAACCTGAAACATATTAAATACATTTTTTACTGAAATACTCTAAAAATTTGAAAGTTTTAGAATAGTATTATTTGCTTGAATCTGTCCTCGCAACACGAACCGAAACTCATAAACAGCCAATAAGATTGCAACTTGTGAGAGAGTGAGGAAAAAAAAATATATTGAAAAGAACATCTTTCTTTCGTTCAGTTGGCTCCGTGCCAGCCAGATCTGTTTTGACTTTCAACCCATAGGCCGCCTAAGCTAAATAGAAGAAAGAGTTGCTTTTTCAGTCCGGATTTTCTGCTCAGTGAACGATTTCGTGGGACAGATTATTTTGCAGCTCAGACGTTCGTCTCTCTTCGTTTGAATTCATTTTATGCCTTTTTTTCAATTTTTTATTACTTTTTTGCATTTTCGTAAGTCATTGAACTCTGAGAGTGGAAAAGTAAGCAATTGAGATTCAAAACGAAAGATACAAGTTTAAAAAATACTTTCAGGGGGTGCTGCAGCTCTGCAGTCCTAATGGACGAGCCGCCACTGTCTGTACTATTAAAGCTTACTCGATGTAAGTTGTTACACTGTAACAAGTAGTCCCAATGGAATTGTAACAAGCCCCATGTTACGCTATTTTGTATCTTTATACGCGTGAGTGGCATACTACACTTGCACAGAACTTTTAATAAAGATTTCTTCTGGTGCAGTCATTACTCAGATACTCTAAAGGTTCCGTCACAAATAGCAAATTGAAAATTTAAAGAAAAATAATTAACAGACGCACAATCATCGCTACCTCAAGCAATCTCCCTACTACTGACTGCAGGTACTCTAGTGATCTACGAAGAAGCCATACAAATGGGAGCTACCATCCAAGGTGAAAAAAGTGAGTTTCTAACTGCTGTTAATTCAAATTTAACAACTTTCCTCGTGTGACAACCAACCCCGGTCTCCCTTACATTTCATAAATATCACTAAAATTCTCTCCCTAAAAGACGTTCAAACGAAGAAAAAATTACCAAATTTCAGAATTTGTGATAAGCAGTATGGAACATGCTACAGTTTGGGTCGATCCCAGATAGCAAAGAAGGTCGCGGAAAGGTTGCCATTTCACTTTCCATAAGCTGTCCGCGAAAGGATTAACGCGCAAACCGTTTCGGAAACCATTGCCGCAAGGTTTGCATAGGAAAGCTGTTTATGAACTACCTCACCGACAAGGTTTGAGCGACAAGTCTGCGAAAGCATTTCTGCACAACCCTTTTCGGAAATCATTCCCTCAAAATTGACGTAAGAAAGCTTTTTATTAACCACCTCTGCTATCGTGTGCAGCCCCGTCCGGTATAGTGGTTATTGCGTTTGCCTTCAAACTATAAGAATGCGGGTTCGATCCCCGGCTAGGAGGAATTTGAAGTTTTGACACAATCTACTATCTAATCGTACAAGTAAGTTCAATTAAAAATTAGATTAATCAAATTAATAATTAAGATTTCTAATTAATTGATATTCCAGATAACTCTAAGATGACGTCAGAAGAAGGGGGAGGAAAAAGGGGTTGGACCCCTCTGTAGAAGTTCGGCTTTGAAGAGGTGGTGAAAAAAGGGGGTCGGACCCTTCTTTAACCCTTTGAGGGGCGGTGGGACACCGTCTGTCCCACCTTCTTTAAGATTTTTTTTCATAAACTTGTATAAGGTTTTTTATTACAAAAATTGTTTTATTGGATATTTCAAGACCTCTTACTTTAAAAAAAATTGCAGTACCATTGAGAATTTAATCAAATTTATTGAAAATAATTTTTAAAATCATGCCCTTTATTGGCAATGATTTTCTTTAAATTTCTAGAGAAAGAAAATGAACTTCGAAACAAATATTAGATGCAAAAGAAATCTTCAATGCTCAATAAATATATTCCAAACATTATCTGTATTTCAAAAGTAATTTTTTTTTATCAATTATTATAGATAAGAAAGGTGGGACAATTTTGTCCCACCGCGCATCTAAGGTTGTCAGCCTGTAGATGGCAGCACAAAAATTCGCGACTCAATCCTCTTTCTTCCTTTCTTGAATGATAAACTTGGATTTATAAACGGCATAATTATAATCACTCTATCAAATTTAATACTTACACAGAAAATAAATTTATATATTTCAGAAGATAGTTAAATAATATTAAACAAAAAAAAGTCTGTAAACGCAAACAAGCATTTTTTTTAAAAAAAAAATGGCATATCTAAATTTATTTTGAGTGGAATTTTTGAAAACAAGAATAGATCTTTTGAGGAATTTTTTTATAAACGGATAAAAATATACTTTTCTAAAAAGAACGAAAAGTAGAGAGAATATTCAAGTCTTTCTGTATCTCTCAAAATTGAAGGTCCAATAACCGCAACGAAAAGGAAGTAGTTCCGTTGAAGCTGCCCACCCCACTCCCTACTTGTTTACATTCTTGACTGCTTTTGAGAAAAAGGCGATTTCCCTAAGGGATAGTCTATTGTGAATAGCTGTTATCAACAATACTCAAAGCAAATGTGTTTGAACCTGTCAGCTTCCAGCAACGCTTTCCTTCGCGCGATAATTTACAATCGATGGGCTTCTTACAGCGGTGGTTTCATTACAGTTTGTGTCCAGTTTCGGGCATTAGTGCCTCATTTCCTTGACTGAAATGTGTGATTAAATCTACTGATAACGCATTTCTGTTGCTTCCCAAACAATAAACCGTGGATAAGAGTAACATTTTGCATACAGAATATGGGTGGTCTTCTTTCTTCTTTAGATTTCAAAGAGAGCGACATCTATAAAAATACAATTGAAGAACTCTCCCCATTTGGGTACAGAATGTGGGAAACGGTTTCCACTTCAACCACAGTATACAGCTTCTACAGCTGTTCAAAGGAAATGTGCTAAATAACCAAATTTATGCTCGAAGTGCAACTGATAAAGAACGAACGACAGCGCGAGTCACCGAGGGAGTTGGGGGATACTCAAGTCCCTTCAGGGGCGGTGGGACATACGTCGTCCCACCCTCTCGTCGAAAACCTAAACGCAGAAAAATATTTTTATTCGGAAAATATTTTATTTTTAGACGATAGATCTTCAAACATATATCTTTTTTTAAGAAAAAAAATTTTTTTAAGGTGTTGCCCCTCAAGGGGTTAAGAGCACGGCTTCGGAGGGGGGAAGGGGAGTTCTATTTTGTCCGCCGAAGGAGGGTTCTTAACAACTTTTTGAAAGGCCTGAAACAAGCTTGAGAAAAGCCTGAAACAAGCTTGAGAAAAGCCTGAAACAAGCTTCTAATAAAAGCTTTGGAAATCTTACTAAAAACTTTACAGAAAACCTTGTTCCTTGTTGACTAGCGAACCTTTCCGCTTACCTTGCCGAAAGGTTCAACCCTTGTCATGGAATTCTTTGTGACAACCCTTTACCCTTGTCGACGACAAGGTTTCCAAAACCTTTTAGGCAAGCTTTTTTTGCTATCTGGGATGGTGTTGCCTGATATATTAATTTTCTTGTCACAGAAACCTAAAATGGAGAAGACAGCAACCTACTTATAATGCATTAATTACTTTTCACAAAACGCAACACTCGAATTTTTTCTGTAACATTTTTCAGAAACAGCTAAATCTCAAAACCTGTATTTTGAAGATCCTTACTAATTGTATTACTGCGTCCATATGTAATTTGCTTAAACTGCTTAACAATAAATTTTATGCTGAAATATGCTTAGTATTTGAATTAAACTTCATAATCAGGAACTAATTTCGGAAGTAATAAAACTTCTCTTAAATGAAAGTTGATTAGAGTGGAAAAGTACAATTAGCTCTTTTATGCCGCAGTTTAAACTGTCGCAATGAACCTGAAATGTGAGCGTATTAGGTATAAAAGCAAAGAAACCTAGATTTTAAGGTAGCCACGGACCTTTAAGAACGTTTTTTTTTTTTAATTTGCAATATATTTATTTATTTCTGAGATATGGGTATAAATGTAAATTTTAACATCAATTAATGACCTTTATAATAAATGTTCCAGGCTCTCCAAAATTACTCGAAATTACTCAATTTTTTTATTAGTTACTCTAAAACATTTCAAACAAAAGTTGGGATTCATTTTTATGTTTCAGAAAGGAACTCCAAAATTAGCACGCATAATAACTTGAAACTATTGATTTTGGAAAAAAAATGTTTCCAATATTTGATATGGAAGAAAGTATTTATGGTTCAATAACAAAATAACTTCCATATGAATGCCAAAAGTTGTTCTCCATACATGTTTTTATACTTATGTAAATGTCATGCAATTTGGAAAAAAAAATTGAAACGCTTGGAACATAAGCAATTAATTGTTATTAAAAATATATTTATACCCATAACTCAGAAATAAATAAATATATTGCAGTAAATTTCGTTTGTTATTTTATATAGTGCTCCTATTAATGCCTGCAACATATCAAATTGATTAGTTGAAAATTTTAAAACATGATTTTGAAGGTCCCAAGTCGCCTTAAGCAACATAAATTTAATCTCATAGTTATATGAGGCACGTTACGGGGAAAGTTTGGCAAGACCTTTATCTCAAAAGTTGATTGTTTGTAATATAAATTGTTATATTCAGACAAACTTTTGAAACAGACAACTATTTTAAATAAAATCACTTTGATTGATTGATGATTGGTGATTTTCAACCGTGTATTATCAATAAAATACCTTGGCTGTTTTTCAACGAATGCAAAATCACAACACAAAGGATCAGATAATGAAATTCACAACACAAAGGGTCAAATAATCAAAAACACAACACAAAGGATCAAATAATCAAAATCACAACACAAAGGATCAGATAATGAAAATACTTTAGGTCAAACTAGTAAAATCACTACCCCACAAGTTAGTAGTAAATTCTACAGTAACACAAGGGTAAATTAATCAAAATCTCCACAACTTCTGAGATGAATGGCTAGAACTACAACACAATTAATCAAAATCACTTCAAAGGATCGAATAGTAACCAATCTACACAGCACAAGAGGGTCCAATTAATCAAAATCACCTTTGCAAAAGGAATCAAATAATCAAAATCACAACACAAAGGATGAAATCGTCCCCAACTGAAACGATC